CATTTATTTTAAATGTGAAATGCACAGATTTATCCCAACTGCTTGATGTCAGACTACATAGCATAGGCTTAGATTCAGACCAATGTTACCTGCCAGTGTGATTTGGGTACATATCCGTTCCTTGTGCTGATTGCTTAAGCCCCACAGAGGTATTGAAAGGTACTCAGAGGTACTAACAGCAGCATACAGACTATGTGCTGCCAGCCGTCTCCTTGTGATTTTTAAAAACTTGACTGTTGTTAGTCCATTGAAATGTTTTGCTTTATTATGCTTGGAGTTAACTGTATCTCTGTTGATTGTCTCCATCATTGTCTTTTATGAATGTAGTGTGAAAACAATTGTGGAATTGACTTGGGGAACTCTGTTGTGCCGTCTCATAAGAATGGTTAGAGAACATGCCTCGATGATTGATTGGATTTATTTTGGGCCATAGCCACACAGTTTGGTTTTGAGTCAATAAATTGATCTTTAAGACATCTTGATTCCATGAAGCTGCTGCCTGATGTTTCTATGGACATGACCTCACACTCTCCAAAATGGAGAAAAAAAAAAGCAAAACTAATTACGAACCAAGATGCAAGATGATGTTTATTGGACCAGCCACATTGTTTTTTAAAATGCTGCACATTCTGTTCTAATACCAGTACCTATATTTTATATTTTTCTGCATACTGAACATTTTGTATTTATTTCATTAGTAACTTATTTTCTTTCTTCCATTTGGTAATTTTTAACTGTGGTAGACATAGTTTATATTGTGCATACTGTGCTGTTGTTTCTCTTTTTTGCAGCAGCAGCTACGAGAGTGAAAAAAAATAATTTTATTGTGTACTGCTCCTATGACAATAAATTTGCAAATATCTTAAAGTCACCAATTTTTCACCATTGGCTATTTTCAATTTAAAATGAATGTTCTGCATTATCTTGAGATTTACACATTTATTCTCAGTCACATTCAGCTAGAGCTTATATAAACCTCTGGCCATTATTACTAGGACACAGTGCATGTTTCGTTGCGATTGGTCAGGCCTTCCATGGCTCCTATTGGCTGTCTCGTCTCCCTTTAGCCCGTCTCTCAGTTTGTCTGGCTTTGGCGTCTGCGTCACACCACACATGGGGTTTATATCCGGCTCCCTGGCATCCTTAGGCCAGACGAACTGATAACGGTGTAACAGCGTCACCAAACAGTGGACCAGCTTCATGTACGCCAAGCCTTCATGAGGCCCTGTCATAAAATCACAAACATCTCCATAAGCCCAGGAAACTGAAGCACCCCAGGGTGAATTTCATCAAGGTTTTCTAACTGAACTCATCTATTCTGAAATACAGGAAGTCCCCAGGTTATGAACGAGATCAGTTCCCTAGGTCTGTCTGTTATGGTGGGGCATGGCAAAGGAAAGAGGGAACGGCTCACTGCAAGCAAAAGACTTCATTAAACTAAAAAGAGAACACAAAGGAGAAACCAGAAAATAAAGAGGGACTACAAGGGGTCAAAACCAGAACAGGTAATACAAGAATCGAACTAAATAAATCACAAAAAAAACAAACACTAATCAGGGAACCAGAGCAAAACTGGGTGCAGGATTGGGAGACAAACATGCATTAACGACTACAGCAACAACAAGGAGCAAGTGAGGTCAATTAATGGGTACAATAGGTAAAAACACCAAGGGAAACTAAAACAAGGACAACTGAACAAAATAAGACAAGGGGAAAACACCCAAGGGACTGTGACAGAAATACATAAACCAAGAGGACACAAAACAACAAATATTAAATCATTTATTGAAGCTGGCCATTGGCCTGACTCAAAACCACAAAGGGGGAATCTGGATGATTGCAGACCACTCAGCCCCTTAAGCCACATGGCAGCCCAGGAAGCAGTGAAACCAACTAGGGACTGAGGGGTTACAAGACAGACAGGGAAACAGGATGGTCAGTGACACCTGCTGGCCAAATGGGGACAAGACACATGAGACAGGGTGAAACAGACACCGATCCTGACACTGTCATTAAGTCAATTTTGTAGGTGAGGTGAAACATTAATAATATGCTACATAATAATAATTCTTTAATAATAAAAGTAACTACATTCAGTACTGTGCTATACCTCGAGCCTACGAATTTCCACAAGATGTTTTCAAGAGCATCGCAAAGTAAAGTATTGTCTGAGTTTGTTATTACTAATCATTGTAATTGACTCAGTTTTGTAATGTAAAAGGCTTTATGGCAGTCCGTTAGTAAGTACGAGTTGTCAGTGAGGCGTTTTTAACCCAGGGACTGCCTCTACATGCTTTCCTATAATTCAGGGCATTTTTGGTTCTTACGCACAAAATGGACATGAAGGTGCCAAGCTTCAGGAACTCTCCCTGCTCATTCAGGAATTTGCGGGGTTGAAATCACGGGCGACCTTCCATTGGCCCTCATCACGCATGACAGTGGAAAAGTTAAGGATAACCAGGGTTCCCTGCTACAGGTGCAGGTAATGAGAGGCAGTGTGACATCAGGGGACATGGAGTTCTGGTTAATTCTACCAATGGTGAATGTAGATGGAGAGATCAACCACTGAACACAGTCAATGAATGAATATGGCCGGCTAATGTGCAAGGAGGCTCACCTCTGTGATGCTGTAACACAGGAGGTGGGTGTCTTCAGTGGTGGAATGACGGGGGGGGGGGGGTTTCTTGGTGGGGGAAGTGGGGGGGGGGGGGGGTATCTCTACAAAGGTTGTTTGCCATCTGCATTTACACCAATGATCTAGTAATTATCCTACTAATATTGAGTATCCTACTCAATATTTCAATAATCAGTACCTGCATGAACCGCTGCAATATTTTGAGCAGTTTAAGAATGAGCATGTCAGGTCCTTCGTGGGACTTCTCAGGCTTAATTGCAGAAGATTCCCAAAGATTGGCATGGGTCGCGTTCCCATGGGAGAGTTTTTGGGCCTATTAATTCTGGAGAGCAGGGCGAATCTAGTCCAACGCAGGAGCAACATGCCAGCCTTGATACCTTCTGCCAGTTAATGCTTTCGACCAGGATTAAATTCAAAGTCATTCTCATCTCCCACTGCCCTTTGTATCATAAGTGGAAAGCACCCGTGCACGCAAAGCAATACATGTATGTAAACGTTACCGTCTGAGCAGGTTTTTAATAACGAGAGCGCTGACTATGAAGCTGCAGATCTGAGGCCATGGTACTCTCTTGGAAAGGAGTGCACTGCTCTTTTCAGGTGGGGGTGGGGGGAGTCTGCACTTAGTGACAAAGTCTGAGCACTACGGGTGACAGAGAGAGAGAAAACATGAGATTGGCAGGAAGATTGGCGGTCAGGCACGGACTGAAGTCACGGGAAGTTCAGGAATCCTCCTGGTAAACAGTTGTATAATGTAGCATATATGGACCTGATCAGCAAAATATACTAAGGGGGACCCCCTGGGCAGAGGCAAAATATACTAAGGGGGACCCCACGTCAGAAAAATATCAAATTCCCGGGCTGCATTTTGTTGCCAGTCCATCCTTCTCGGTGGCTGTAGGTCTGCGAGCGCTTACCAGCTTGGGTGTCGGATCCTCCGCAGGGCTGCCGGGCTTATTCTCTGCAACAGGGTGATCAAATTGCAGATCCAGAGGCTTTCAAATAGATCTGGCATTCTTTCAGACTGAGAGTAATCTGAGGTGGTTTGGGTATCGCTTAGCAGGGGTCCTGAGGCAGACCGAGGAGGTGCTGGAGGGATTAGTCTTCCTGCTTGAGAATGTCTGGGGATCATCCTGAATAACCTACAGTTCACAGCCATGGGGAAAAGAGGCTAACATGGGCAAAGGGGCTAACGTGGAAGAAAGGGGTTAACATGCCCTGCTTGGTATTGCCACCACTACGACTCTCACTGGGAAAGGCAGTAGTTTAGAGACTAGTCCCCCACCACTGCAGACACTTTCCATTAGGGAGATAACTCAAAAAGTATTTGATGGATCTTTTTCATGTTTTGCAGATGGATTGTAGGGCTGATCTTTAACTGATTTGGAACTGGTCAAATCGTGAGATAATTTGCACCAAAATTTGAGCAGTTCCACATAGTGATAGCAAAGAGAAGACAAGTCTCAGCCAATTATCCTGTTAGAGCGATAACTCAAAAACATTTGAGGGATCTATTTCAAACTTGCAAATGAATTGTACAGTACAAGATCTGGAATTGATCAACTAAGACAAATCACACCAAAACTGAAGCAATGCTGCTTAGTGGCAGCAAAGAACAAGTGACTATAGAAGACATCATCCTCATTGAGACAAGTCACACAAAGCTGGGCTTTTAATAAAGATTATTAGAGAGGTGAGGGGAGTGTGTAGGGAGCTAGAGACTGTAGAGGTTGGGGGGTGTGGGAGGAGTAGGGATTAGATGGAGGAGAGGGGGTGACAGGATTGACCAGGGAATACATCGTTGTCGTTCTGACGGCATCTCATTAAATCTGAGCATTAGAACCATAAATTTCAACTTCAAACTGTGGTTAAACCTGATACATGAGATTTATTTCTTGTAGTCTTTTCCCACGAATTGCCTTTAATGAAAGAGGTTTTTTGTTGGCTTTATTGATAGATATTGTTTTTGGATGATGTACGTGTTTTTACTGGATCAACTATATTATTCTTGCAGGAATAGACCTTTGACAACATCTAGGGTGTGAATTGGTTTCGCTGCTTGTGAAGCAGTGGAACGGAATGAGACAATAAAAGCCAAACATCTGACTCATTGCTTTCCGTATAACTGGACACCAGCAGAGATACATTGCACATGTGGCAGGGGCAAAGGACACCTTCAAGAACAACACCCTGTATGAAGACAGGTGGTCTGACCCAGGATGTATATTTTTTAAAATTGTACATCTGGACTGTGTTTGTACAATTTCCAAAAAGTATAAGCTGGAGGAGAGCGTGTAAAACTATTTCCCTCTGATGTAAGTCAATCAGGCGACAAAGTCGCAGCATAATTAAATAAACAAACCTTGGCTGTCAATTCAATGTTTTAATAGTTTATTCAAGTAATACTTTGTATATTAGATACGAATGTGCTGTAGCAATGAAAGCCAAGCTGTATGAATGCTACCTAGTTACAATTAACTTACAAACATGTACAGATACAATATGCTGCTCACATTTGTATCATTACACAAATAAGGAGAATGTGGAAGAAATGTGTTTATAGTTCATAGCCTTAACATGAATTGCATTTAAATAACCTTCAAGTCTTAAGGGAGCACCACGATTCTGCACATAAGCATTAAGACAAAACGGCCGTTTGCATTTCAATTTACAGTCCCCTGTTTCTCATGGCTTCTTGAATGTCGCGGGATTCACACAGAGGCGCTTCGCCATGTACAAGCTGTCTACAGACAAGATAATAAAACCGGAATATTCCTGCTTGCCACAATTATCCGTTCAGAAACCGGGGGCGATACTCACACTCAGCCGATGTGGCCAGAGAATATGATAGAAAGCATTTTATCATAGGCAGAAAATCTCAGGTGGTCATTTTTGAAAAAATCACTTTGTCTCAAAGTCAGTTATTACCGAAGAGCAGGAACTCTGTGGCATGAAGATTAATTTCATCCCATTACAAGATGGTGTTCTTGATATTGCAGCAAAAAAATCCTTCTATATACAACTACGATTCCTATAATATTTTGAGTAATAGAAGATTAGAAGTGTAATGTTAGGTTATAAAATGTAATAAACATGTTCAATTAAGTTCACAACCCCTGCTTTGTAAACGCTCAGCTACAACGGTCCCTATTCATTAGTGTTAGTCCAGTATGCAGGTATGTAACACTAACTGGCACGATTACAGGAGTCTCCGGGCCAGTATAAAGTGGTGTTTTGGCGTCCACAGCTGCGTTTTCAGTAATTTGTTCTGCAGATCCTTGGCTGGGAGCCTCCTCTTGCCCTTTTTAGTACCTGAAATGACAGAGTCAGGTCATTTAGCCCAAGCTCCGCCGATACAAAGGCTTTTAGCACCTAAGCAGATCAGCGGAAGCATAACTGTCAGGCACATTGATGGTCCGATGCCATACAAGAGGTTTCACGTTTCGAGGTCCAGCAACCAGAGGTGCTTACGGCTGCCAAACACAGGAATTCTGGAACGCGGACTGTTTCAGCCCATTTCAGGTTAAAGAACCTCTGGAATGCTCAATTACATTTTGCCTACTGAAAACTTAACATGACACTAGCATTTCATGTTAAATAAATTACATGCAAGCTAGCAAATGTGAATTCCTTTAGGAAACATCCAACTGTAAATAAAAAACGAGGCGGTGGAGATACGGCAACGGCACAGTGCTCACGTGGACAGATGACATCCTGATGTATAAGCGTAGTTGCCGGTGTAGCGAATGTCACACCGTACGACGTTGTTGCTGTAGTCAGACTCCGGGACTTGATAGCTGGGGTTCACACTGACCTGCAGATCAAACCGGAAACTTGTGTGTCTGGCTCAGAAGTAAACAACAAATTATCTGGAGGTTACAAGATCTGGCACCTTACATCAAGCGATGATTGTTCTATTAGAATGATTAATTAAGTCTACATACAGGATGTCAGTCCATCACAAGGCATACACACTACAGGCAATTTATAGATTCTAATTCACTTAATCACATGTTTTTGGACTAAACTCCACACACACATAGTCAAGGATGGGATTCAATCCCTTTTTCCAGGAGGTGTGAGGTTACTGTGCTATAAAAGATGTGTTGTTTAGTATGATGTTCATTGTGAAGATGGTAAGACATCATGTCAAGCAAGAAAACACTGCTAGAATTCCTGATTGGACCATTGAAGACCAAAAACCCTGAGGTACACACTGACAGGCATGGAAGATTTTTTTAAGGGACAGACCTTGAGGATGTAGTTTCCTGGTTTGACGTCAGTGATGTCGATCCACTGGCAGTCTATGTCTGCGTTGTAAGTGTCGTAGCAGCCGGGACTAAGCCCCTGGAAGTCAGCATCAGTCAGCAGGGTTTCCAGCGTTGCATCACTCAGCCAGAACACCTGTCTGTCCGGACTGCACTGCAGCTACCCTAACTGCGCTTACTGCAAGCTTTTCAAGGTTCCTGGTGTTACAGCAAACACTGTCCACTATGAATGAATCTGGCTGCTATGGAGGAACTGCTTTTGGGAAAGCCTGCAAGTCTGGTACAAAGATAACCTGCAACAGGGTGGAGAATCCACATCTGCGAAACATCTGGTATATACAGATCTGTACCAATATCTCCTTCTCAGTTCATTGATGCCCATTCATCAGCATGAGTCGAGAAATCTTTGGCGTTATCTTAAATCACAGATATTAATGTTTTAAATTTAACTTTGGAATGTACAAAGAGACATCTCCCAAATAAATAATAAAAAGCAAACTTTACTCAAACGTTACACATTCCTTATGATGGCTACACATTCTTTATGGTGGTTACACATTCCTCATGATGGATACAACATTCCTTATCAAGAAACACAAGGTTGTAATCACTGCATAAGGCATCGTTTATGAAGACAGTCATTATCACATAGTTACAGTACTTGTCTATCTATCCCTTACCGCAGTGCCTGCCCTGGGACAGAGTTAATTAGGGAAAGTTAGGGTCTTAATGGGTACGTGGAATCAGGTAATGATTGTTTTATACACGGCAGCGGCCTACCTGTGTGTGTGACGTGCAAGCAAAGCGACGGTAATAGCCATAATCGCAGGAAGAGTCTTCCAGACAGAAGCTGGCTTTGTGCCCCTCTGCCACACGTCTCTGTGAGCTGGCTTCCAGCAGGTCGTAGTGGCTGAATTCATCCATGCTGTGGTAGTGCCTTTGGAACGATCAAACGTCGATTCACATATAAGAAGATCATGTGGTGTGGCTCATTTGTGTAAACGGAGGTATGAGCTTCACAATATTATGAAATTAATTCCTTGCATGATCGTGTCTGTGAGCTGTAACGTCATTTGAGATTGACAAAAATACACAGTGCTGATACTGCAGCCTAACATGGATCCTCATAGCATAGATCTGAGGTGAAATTAGCTACACACTCTTCCTGATATACAACTGTAAGTGTGCAGAAAACCTCTACGGAAAAAAACCTTCTGAGAATAATTCTTTGATTCCGTTTAAACTGAACTCCTGCCGGATGCAAATGATAACTGACCATCTAAGAAACCCCAGACTTTGGAACCATCTAACGGAAAGAAAGAGCAAGCCTAACATGTCATCAAGCTCATCCAAAGCAGTCGATGCATTAAAAATAAAGGTACATCTGGGGTGACGATGCGTGGTTGAATGAATATGTATCCAGGGCAGTTAATCTCTACAGTATGTAATTTATGTAATTTTTAGTTGCATACTTTATTTAAACAGCCCGTAGTGGTACTCAAAGTCAAGTCTCCAACACCAGAGACAGTGTCCCTAACCCTAAGTCTCTCTAATTAAGCCTACTAGCATATCTACAACACATTTACCATAAATCATGATGAATGAATCACAATGACGGCAACACAGAAATCATTATAGAGAAGGAGAGCAGAAAGGACAAAGGAAAGCAAACAGGAGAGATGCAGACTGACTGGTGGCAGCTGTGCCATTCCCAGGAGTATCGTGGCCGGTTTGGCAGAAAGTCCGACGTGCCCTGGTTCTTCACGCGCTGGGGGAACCTCAACAGCATGCGGGTGTCGTAATCCCTGACGTCAGACCTGTGGGCAGAGCTGTCGGCACGCGCAACAATCAGAACCACAGTCACTGTACACTCCGCTTTTGGAGCGGTCGTTCTTAATGAAAACAAGAAACATTCCTGAAATCAGTTCAAGCCCTCGTCCGCTAACCGGTATTAAATTTCTCCTGGGTTACAGTGGATATTTCTCAAGAAAAGCACAACTGCAGGAAAAGCTTTTACTTAAAGGTTCCTTAGAAAGAAATGTCTTAAGGGTGAATTGAGTTTTGTCATTAAGTTTTGGGCAATTTGTATTTTTAAAAAAAAAAACCTTCCAAGGGAACAGCACCACCGGCCTTGTACATATTAAACTGTCTTTAGATTCCTCGCAATCTCATCAGCAGCAAGAGTCCCTTTTACATGACTGTAAAAAGCTCAAATTCACCGTTATTAGACTTTCTGGAATCTCACTGTTAATTCCATGGAAAGTACACCTCGAGCATTTGAGGATTCATCAACAGCAAAACGGCTGTATCCTGCGACAGTGATCCCAGCTGTAGGTACCTTGCCAGACAATTTTCCTCAGCGGCACATCTGAGATTGTACATTGGCACCCTCTGGACGTAGGTGGAAGCTTGTATATAATACGGGTCTGGCACGAGATCAGGCAGACCTGCGGAGCAGAGCCACGCGAGTTACTGGAAAATATGTAAAGGCAATTCAAAAGAAAGTCACATCCATCCACCAAATATTTTATGCTTTTATGCCTAGGCAATGTCGAGTCTGTGTCTCAAAAATCAGTTAATTGAATAACCAACCTATTAATATCATTTTGAAGTCTTACCGTGCTGGAAATACCTTGTGCCATACCCATGTCTCTGTCTGCTTCGTGGCCTTTCGTAGCTGTCATAATAGTTATAATACGGGTTGTTTTCATCTGTGGACTTGTACGGGTTGTATGGATCGTCCCCTACCATCACGTCGTCGGGTCTCAGATTGCTTAGGTGCGGCAGAGCCGAATCGGCGGTGCCGTTGCGCTCCTTTTCGGATGCCGGCATTGCGATCGGTGTCACCCGCTCATTCAGCTCGGAACCTTGACTTTCTCGCTGCTGGGATCTACTGGCCTGCCGTCTTTGTCCCCCCTGAAAGCGATGGAAGGCCCGTGCGAGGGTCCCTATGGACGGGTGTCTCCGGGAAGCCCTTTGAGGTTGGTGTGGATTTTGCGCCGAAGAAGGGTTGACGTTTGGTTCTCCAGATGTCCCATTGCTTATGATGATAATTGGTCTCGTTTGCGTCTGGTTTCTGCCACCGGTTCTTTGCCTTGGTGGCTGGTATTCGGATCCATGGCTTAATAAACTAAAAACTTTCCCGTTGTACTCCCATTGGATCTTCTGTCTGAAGTCGCCTGCTTGCTGGGTATTGGCTGCTTGTGGAGTATTGCCCGAATTTGTCTCCGGCTGCTGCTGAGTGTCAACGGGTTGCAAAGTGCAACTCCAGAAACATAGGTGCGTGCATACATAAATTACAACGTAAAAGTCACATGCCCTCATCTTTGCTCTCAGCTGTATAGAATTAACCTCAGAACGAATAAAGCCTAATATTCCAGCCTAATTAATTTAAACTGGTATTAAGTCAAAAGCGAACGATATATTTCATCATGCAAATTTTGCAGAACGTGTGATCAAATAGGTCTTGCAGCCAAGTATCAAATAACTGCATTGACCAAAAAATCCGAGATCTTACATTAAGGAAGATTGTGCTGAACAGGCGAGCCACATCGCTCCTCACTGTAGTCTGGCTGTTGTGCGGAGTGCGAGCAAGAGGAGGGGTTGAATTTTTAAAGTTTCAGGAATCTAGCTCCTTTGGCAGACTGGTGGTGTGGCTCGCATAATAGTCTGGTTATGAAAGGTCTGACTCGAAGGTCTGATCGCCTTCATGTAGAAAAGGCTGGGCACTTCTAAGGACGTCCAGACACTGTATCAGGTTTTCCAGCGGTCCATCACTGGAAGTAACTTGGAGTGGAAATAGATTTCCGAGACAGCCCTGTTTGGATTCCCGTCCCTCTCAAATAATTTTATATAGTTCTGTCTAGCCGCAGGAAGTTTTATTCCTTTAACACGAAGTAGGGTGATTCATGTTTTTACAATGCGATAAAGCAACAATCTTTTGCAGCTATTTAGAAAAAAAACATTCGAATTGTCACTGCTAGGAAGAAAATAAATTATGCTATGCATAACAAATTAATAACATTGTTAACACCAGACTGTCACGATCACAGCACCCCATTTAATGAAACACAACTAATTTAGAGTGCATGTTGGCTGTATGAAAGCATTTCCATTAAATATTAGTGTCGTGATCTGCACGTTTTTGGCTGACACCTTCTTGTACCCACGATGACGCTGCAGCAGCGCGGCTGAGTCCGCACATGCGTAGGTGAGACACCTGCTGCGCGTAACTTCACCCTTCATCGGGACGAGGAATGACGGCCAACTTATTGCTTTAACATAATGTTTAAATTCAACTTCGGACAGTGCAAAGATAAACATCCACCATTTCAGAATCACGCACATTTTCAGTATCAGGGGAAATGTATATGGACAGAGAACCAGCAGGAGGAAACAGGTGAAGCCAAAAATGTGCTGTGGTTTATTTAAGTTACTAATATTCATGAACGATTTTTTTTCTTGCGCTAGAATCGTGCACCACTGAGAAACCTGAAGGGAAATGTATTAAAAATAACAAATAGATTTGGTTTTCATGCATTTCTGAATGAAAATCTCCACAGAAGTAAGAGGTTATTAGCAATAAACTATGTCTCTTTGTCCTTCACTGGCATGCCAAATACTACCTTGTTCCTAAAGAAATGAGGCATTGAAATAACTTTTGGTCTCTATCCAGACACACATCTTTCAAAAATTATTTCTATAAAAAATAGTCTTTGATGATCTTATACTTGCATTCCATAATCGGAAAATGTGCAGTTGTTGGTATAAATTACACTGTGGTCAGTTAAGCATATAAGAAAGGCAGTGAAACGCAAGCAGGTGTGCAGATGAGAGCGTCAGGCTTTCTCACGGTGACGCAGGGCCACCAGGCAGTGCGGGGTCCTTTGGGGCCCCTGCACCCACTGTGACTACACTCATGTGAGTCCAGCGCCGTTGGTGGCTGGGTTGTCCATCGTCGAGTCCTGTCTGTGCACCAAGCGCACTCGCGATCTTTTCAGGGGCCCAAGGCAAAGCTTTAGCTTGGAGGCCCCCTACCAAGAAAACTGATCATCATTTCACTTCCTCTGCAAAGCAGGTAATTCAGGGGCCCAAGGCAACAGCCTGTTCTGCTAGAACCAGACACACTTCTGCTGACTCATATACATTTAAATTTGATGTATGTTTGTTTAGTAATTCTAATTTATATATATTTATATATACATATATATTTTTCTTCATCATTTTGTCTGGGCCCCTCCTGATCGGGTCCCAGGTAGCCGCCTAGTTTGCCTATACCTGTATCTGATCCTGCTTTTAGCTGCCAGATCCAACCCCAGAGCCTTAGAATAACCTCAGGAAGTACCGAACCCTCCTAGGCTGATGATTGTGTAATTCTGTGCAGTAAAATTGTAACATCCGTGAATCATTTTGGATAAAGCTATAGCTGAAACACTAAAGTAGGGAGTAATTAAGCCACGGACAGACACATACTACTTTGGGCTGAATTTTTTCCATCCAGGGAACATATTTTTAGCTGAAGCCCTCGGGGTGAGTTAAAATCCAGATACACGGCCTAAAACAATTCAGTAAAGCAGATGCACCACAAGGCACACTATATCCCATACTTATGGACCAATCATGTGATCTAAAAAGAAAAACACCTACAGTCTATCACAGGATGGGCAGGTCACAAGGCAGGGGACACCCCAGATGGGAACGCCCTTCCATTCTCACACCTCTTAGGTCTCTGTTCCTTTTACATTCTGTGCCACCCAGCTGCTGTACATATCACTGCACCCACTAATGGTCTTTGGATTACCCTGGATGAGTGTGTTTTGTCAAAACAGCAATTAAGCCTGTTCCTGACTTCAGTATTTGTGCAAAACATTTCTACTTTTAAAATCCAGAAAGGAAGGAACACAAAATACGCACTTAGGTCACACATTTTCCCAAACATTCAGCTACCTTCCAATTAGAATGCTTAGAGCTTGCAATGAATGCTGGGAATTTATACTTTTTCAGGAAATTTCTGTGGCCACCTTCTATGCCTTTTTTTAACTTTCAATGGACCAAATAGTTCCTCTCCTTCCAAAGCCATCGTTTTCAGCATCAAACTTCCTGGAATAACATCAAGATCACAGTGATTAAAACCAATAGCTGAAAGCACAACATCCTTGAGGGGCTGATCAGCTTAATGCAAAAAGTAATTGCTGAATGAATATGTGCTTAATGGAAACATCAAAAGAGACCTGCAGGACAAATAATCTGTTATTAAATTTCGAAAGAGTGAGATATCTATACATAACTGTATACATGTATAAGTACTTTGCATCTTTAAGGGCGAAATTTGATCTGATTTACCGCAATTCACAGTTAAACAAATTGTCAAGCCTATGCCCACACAACAGTATCGACTCAATAGCACTCTCTACTGGAACAAAAGGCTAATTTGACTGCAAGTGTCACATGACATTATAGGAAGCATGTCCTGTCTTTGAATTACCACCATCCCGTATAATATGGGATCATCTCAAATCATAAAATGGAATGCCGTGTCCCATTTGGAACCAATACAGGACGTGATTTGTCCCATATTTTCATATTACGTGATTCATCCCCTAAGTCAGCAACTTTTTATCTCAAGGCGCCCCTTCCACTCCTCCATCCTGCTTGGCAAATTTTATCTTGTGGGATAATGGGGGCTTATTTCTTCAGATTGGAAGCAACAACCCTCCCTATCTCACCAAGAGCTCCGTTGTCTTTTCTTGGTTAGGCCTGTGAATAAGTATGGCCTGCGGCACATTCCAGCTGCGGAAGAAATCCGCACTGCTAAGCAGTGTCCACCCCACAGGGACAGCTGACTGGCTGCTATTGCACTGCTCCCAATCTCCATTTCACTATAATATCCCAATGCGATGTTGTTTAGCAGTGTGAAGGTTAGCCTGAGGAGAAGCTAGCAGTGTCTTTATGGTGCCATGTGGTCTTTGAAGGAGGAGCTCTCAGGAAGGGAAGAATCAGAGCACCAAAAGTGCTGCGAACACTCTGATTCCTCTTTATTTCCATTCCTCCACATTGCAGAGATCTTTTTTGGGCAAATGGCAAATGCTGCATGAGACGGGGAAGTGCCAGACCTGGAGAGAGGAGTTCCTTTCTGGAGGTTGTGAACTTGGAGAGTCACATTCCTTTGGCTTACGTGAGACTTGGCACGCTCCCCCCACAGAGAGGACTGGGTGGCCCGAGGTTTGACAGACTGGAGGTCCCTGCTCCACATCAAAGAGGTTTTGCGCGACTTGAGACAAACTTAATTTTCCACTTTAGTCTTTGGCGATTCGTGCAGCCCAAAAAAATTTAATCTTGTCTTGGTATGAAGGACCGTTGGATGGCAGGCGAGTGGGGGGGGGGGGCACTGCTAACAGGAAATTATGGCAGAAAAGTGAATGACCTCTAGACCATTCAAACACTGTGGTATAGTCAAATTCAGGCCATTAAGCTAATTACTCAACAGACAAAGCGCAGTGGCATGGAAGACCAGCATGACAACTTAGCTGTAATACGACACCAGCTAATAAGCCAGTTTCTTAGTCCTAGGTTCGAACCACATGGCTCTTCTCTCAAAGAAGGCAATCTTCTACTACTCCTTCCCCAATCAGGATTCTGCCATATTTGGCAAGCACTCCACTACCACCAGAGAGAGATCCTTGCGCAGTGGTGTACTGTCAACAATCTAACCTTCAATAGTCAAACAACTATGGATCTCATTGTGAGCAAATGCTGATGGACAAAAGCACGTGGCTCGTGCACACGCTTCTACATCAACGGGGCCATGATAGAACACATGTCCAGCTTCAAGCGACTGGGTGTCCACATCTCCGAAGACCTTATTTGGGCCCTCAACACAACAACTTTGATAAAAAACAAAAGTGCCTTTACTTTGCGAGGAGACTCTGAGGCACCTATCCGAACACATTTTGGTGAATCGCTACCACGATGACATCGAGAGCATCCTCACAAACTGCATCTCAAGTGTGGTACGGCAGCTGTACTGCCGCAGGACGGAAGACCCTCCATGGGGGTGGTGAAATCCACCCAGCATATCACCAGCACGCACCAATCTATCCACCGTCAGAGTTATCCATCAAAGCTCTTTCATCAGGATCCCTCTCATCCCAAACAGGGGCTGTTCGTCCTTCTTCCATCCAGGAAATACTACAGGAGCCTCCGCTGATGCACTCGCAGGCTAAGGAGCAGCCGTCAACGTGCTCAGTAATACTTCATGATGTTAATCTTCCCTCCACAACACTGGGTACCTCCACCAATCATTCTTTTGTTTGTACTGACTACTCTTGTATCGCATCAGTTTAGCACAGTCATTCACTATCTACTTCCTGTCTGCACATTTTATTAATAAATTTATAAATAATAATTTATAATTTACTTGTATTTATTGTTTTGTATGTATTTTATTTGGTTGTTCTGCATTTCATTGGCTGTGTACCAGTGCTCATTGTAATAAAAATAAAGTTGAATGTAATCTGATATTTATAAGTCCCTCTTATGAAAACTGTCTCATAATCAGCAGATGATAAAAGGCTGACATTAGACTGTGGGTTGAGTATTAGGCTGCTTAGCTTTCTTCCCAGCTGTCTCTCATTTATTGCTACATAAACTTTGATACATGCGAGCAGAACTAGACTCTGACCGCAACACACACAGTCACACGTAGGGTAAACATATCCTTATGGGGACCGCTCATTCATTTCAATGGGAAAAATGCTAACGCTAACTATGACAACCTTAACCCCTACCCTGCCCTAAC